CTGGCCAGTGCGGAACTATCAGTGTGAGTGATGCATGGGTGCGTTGTGCGTGATGGAGGACGGCTGGGACCAGTTGAGGTGGGGGGAAGGCGAAGTTGTTTTCAGGTGTCCACGCGATCGAGAACGCATCAACTGCAATGGCTGCCGGGTGGGGAATCTTTGAACACAAGCGCGGCAGTTGGGTGTTGCGGGAGTTTGCGAAAAGGTCGATGGAGTGAGGACCCCAACGACGTTCCAAGATCCGGAACCACGGCGTTTTCAGCGCGTAATCGTCGTGGTCGACCATTTTTGAAAGCTCGTCGGCGTGTGTGTTGAGCTCGCGCGGAATCCATTCAATGATCAAGCGCGTGCCAAGCGCCATGCATGTTCGGATGATGCTCTTGCATGCCGTTGTGAGGTCGGGGCTGTGAGAGCCGCCTTTGCGAAGGATGAAGAATACGCCCTGGTTGTCCACCCGCACGAGAACGTGTTTTTGCTTGATCTTGTTCGCGTACGTTTGTAGCGCCCAAAGGACGCCTTCGATCTCCCGTCGCGTGCTGGACGTTCCTCGTAGCGGCTCTGACATGGTTGCGCTAGCTTCTTCGATGCCACCCGGAAATGTGGTCAGAGTGGCGCCCCAACCATGAGAGCTGGCATCCACGTGGATTACCCCGTCGTAGCTGTTCTTGACGTGAAAAGGTGCGCCGTTGAAACGGTCGAACTCCTCGAGCCAAAATTGGAGCTCTTCTGCTGCAGATGGGAGGATAACGACGCTGCTTTTCCATGACGGTGCGTCGTCGATCACTTGTAACATAGCATGGCTGAATGCGCGAGCTGTCGCGCCAAGTGCGACACCCATCGATGCGAGCATGCCAGTGATTCTGGCCACGTGGCGGACCGGGACTGGTCGGCATGCCTTGCTTGCGCTTAGGAGGTTCCGGATGGTTGCATGTAGTGAGGCTCGTCGGTCCGGACCGATGGAGAATCGGCCGGTATCGGTCTCGAGTTCTACGCCCAGGAATCGGAGACGCTGCGATGGTGACAGTTGTGATTTCTTCGCGTTTATCACAAGGCCTGCCTCTTTAAGATCCAATATCACCCGCTGGCAAGTTGCTTGCGCGTCCTCTTTCGACTGACAGAGAAATAAGATGTCGTCCACGTAAGGTACGACTCGGATGCCTTGTTCTCGCCAACGCCGAGCTAGTTGCTTGATGAGTTGCGTGAAAACGAATGGAGCTGTCGCGAGGCCAAATGGTAGTGAACGGAATGCGTATGTGCGCTTATCAAATTCAAAGCCAAGGAACTTCCAGCACGATGGGTGGATGTCGATGTGGTGGTAACCAGATTTGAGGTCAATGGAGAACATCCAGTCCCCAACGCGCGCAAGGTCGGCGACGCGGCTGAGCCCTTCGTACTTGAACTTGGGGATGATCAAGTTGGCGTTGACTTTCCTCAGATCAAGAATGAGCCTGCATTTGTCTTTTTGCTCGACCACGTTGAGTGGACTTATGCATGTAAGGTCCGTTGCGGCCATCGGAATTGCCGCTCCCGTCTCTATGAGTTCTTGGATAGCGGTACGTGTGAACGTGGCATGCGTGTTTGCCCCGACATGATTGCGATCGTGGAAATGTTGCGGTGGGCCGTGGCTCCATGGCAACCAGTAACCCTTGGCGATGACGGAGAGGACAAGGCTGCTGGGGCACCATGAGCTCCACCACGCAAATGTCGCGCGAAGACGACCGCGCATGTGTGTAATAGTTCTGTCTGTAACGGCAAATTCGTACGGATCGTCGTGGCATGCCGCCTCGCACCGTCGTGCTCCTGTACATTTGAGGCCAAGTGGTATAAGCTTTGAGTATTCCACGTTAAAGCATGCGTGTGCATGTACTTGTACGGACAACCATTGATCGAAGGTGTGAAGAGAATGAACAATTGAATGAAATGTCAACGAATGTGTCGGGAATGTTAACGCATGTCAACGCATGTCTCTTCTTCTCCTCGTTTCCCCTTTTTTTTTTTTTTTTTTTTTTTTTTTTGCCCCGTCGTCCACTTGGTAGGACATGGTTGTGCCTGCCCTTAGTGCGTAGGGGCTGATGCCTAGGGCCATGGACACCGTTGTCCATTGTGCTTTCTCTCATTCTCTCTTGTCTCTCTCTCTCTCTCTCTCCCTCTCTCTCTCTCTCTCTCTCTCTCTCTCTTTCTCTCTCTCTCTCTCTCTTTCTCTCTCTCTCTCTCTCCCTCTCTCTCTCTCTCTCTCTCTCTCTCTCTCTCTCTCTCTCTCTCTCTCTCTCTCTCTCTCTCTCTGCTCCTCCTCTTGATTTTCATAGTCTCTTTGCCAAAACCATAGGCCTTTAGGAAGGTAGTTTTTATTAAATCAACCAACACACATAGCAATGCTTTCCTAGCATGCCACCAAGTGGCCAACATATGGGACCGAGGGGTTGTTGTTCCCCTTCCCTATCCTAGGCCCAAGCCTATCCCACCCTTTACTAGGGCTGGCCTCTTGCCATCGCAAACCCCTAGGGTTGCCCACGGTTTTTGCACTCAAGAGTGCACCGTGCCTAGCGCCCAAGCGCCTAGTCTCATGGCCCGCTCCTACACCACCGGAGCGGGTCCCTGGCCTCCATGCCCGTTCCGAGGGCAGGCACTTGCCACGTGGCCCGGCTGGCCACAGCGGAAGCATGAGCCCCGGAACCCATGGCAATTGGCCGTGGGCGGGGGGCCTCGCTTGGGTAAGAACGGCATCGGCCCGTTGTTTCCGCCGCGGTTGACACGAGCGTATCCGCTTGCCGCACGGTCCATCGCCGCCATGTCCGCGACCGCCTGCTTGAAGGGTCGAGAAGTCAGCAGGCTCTTCTGCTGGTACAGCTTAAAGCGCTTCGCCGTGCGAAAGTCGGAGGCGTCCTCCACTTGAAGCACCTCGAAACGCCCCGCGATGAGGTTGAGAGCGTGTGAGATGAGTTCGAGTACGCCCGCCGGATCACCGCGCTGCGCCTTGTATTCGGCGTGCAGCAGGTACGCCAGCAGGTCCTCCAGTAGCTCCGCTTGCTCTCGCACGGAGTCGTTGACGAAGGTTGCCGCCGAGAAGGTAAGATTAGAAGAAGGGAGGGGGGGAAGGTTTTCCGTGCCAATAAAATTAACATTGTTGACTGGAGCCTCACCGGCTTCATCTTCAGAGTCGTCGGTGTCGTTGTCGACCGCTGGAGCAGGGGGAGCGGCAGTCGCTGCGTCGTTGTCATGCCGGCTCGTCCGTGCTCCCCGTGTGCCTTTCTCCTTTTTTGCAGTTTCTTTTTTAGCCGACGCAGATGCGGCGGGTAGTGCAGTTTCCGCGGCTGTAACGCTGACGGGTTGCTGCTGTAGAAGGGACAGCAGCGCGTTGACCTGGTCCAGGGTCAACGCCTGCGTCAGCGCAGGGGCGGCGGTCGCGTCAGACGAGGAGACTGCAGTCCGCCTCCTCTGACGCTGACGCGACGGTCCAGCAGCGGGTGCTGGCGTGTGCTCGGCGTCAGTCGCGTGTGCCGCGCCAGTCCCCGTCGCCACTTGCGCCACAGGTGCCACTGGCGCCACAGGCGCCACTGGCGCCACAGGCGCCACTGGCGCCACAGGGACCGAAGGGTGCTGCTGGGTTTCGGCGTTTTTGTGGACCTCGAGCCCGCCCAGCAGCACGTCCACTGCAGTCGGGGCGGAAGGTCCGTCTTCTGCCCGACGCTTGTTACGGCGTTCGCCCGCAGAATCGCGGGCGTTACGGTCGGAGTCGGAAGCGGGGGTTGACGAGTTCCCGTTGTTAAGTGTCGGCGTAGGTGCCATCGTTGAGCGATTGAAGTTGAAAATGTCGCTGAGTAAAGTAGAGGGTGACTCGCCTCTAGGAAGCGATTTAATCCTAGCCAGCTTGGAGGGAAAAACTACTCGAGCGGAAAATGTTGAGTGAGCCGTTTGAAAATTGAGAAACGTGGGTGGAGGGAAATGAGCTCCAACCCACGGTTTTTTTAGTTGGAGAAGGGCGTTTAGCGCGCTTCGACGGTGCCAATTGTGCAGTACAAGCAGCTTCGCTTTCACAATACACAATTTTAAAAAACACTACATGTGTGTTTAAAAATTATAATTTCGTGCAGGTTGATCTCGCGGGGGTGAGGGCTGCGGCGAACCCATGGGCGTCCGTCCGGATGCTCCCACGACTTCTGGTTCATGAAGGCGAACTCGAGGGGAACAAGGTCCACGAGCTCGTCCGATGACGCTTGGCAGGAAGGTACATCGAAGTCCAGGATGTAGATTCCGTTGATTGAACGGGCCCGTCCGAGATACTTGAACGACTTAGGAGGTGTGTCTGGGGGAGCGTAGGTAAGAATGAGGTCGCGCGTGGCAAGATCCGTGTGTATTATGACGCACAGTCGCGGAGTTGTCCAGCCGAGAGCAGGTTGAAGCAGAGATTTGGGACGTAGAGCACGTCGTTGAATGAGATGTGAGTGTTGCTGTCTCGTGCTTGCAGGACGACAATGCCTTGTGAGTTGGCTCGCACCTGCTCGTTGTTGGCGACGGCTGTCAGAACATTATAGCTTATGCTTTTGTGTAGGCTGTAGTGGGGTATCCCATAGGGGGTACAACCCAATTAGGGTTAGTACTTGTACCCACTTCATTCATAGTTCATTCATTCTCGTTCTCACTTTCTCATGGTATCGAGCAGGTTCCCTCGTGGGAACTGTTCCTAGGGCCCACCAATCCTTTTTTTTTCCTGCCCGGGGCGCGTCCTGCCCCTGCCCGAAGCGCGCCTGGGGTCGCGCCCTTAGCAGCGGCCCCGTCGCGTCACCCTTAGCGGCCCGTCGCGTCGCCCTTAGCGGCCCGGCACGCCAACCTTACGGTCGCGTCGCGCCGCCCTAACGGCCGCGTTGCGCCGCCCTAGCGGCCTCTCGCAGCCCCGATCAGCCGCCATTGCGGCCCTGATCCGCCGCCCTTTCACCAGCGGCCCCGTCGCCGCCCTTACAGCAGCCCGTCGCCACCCTTGCAGCGGCCCGATGCCGCCCTTCTCACGGCCCCGCCGTCCCGTTACACGGCCCCGCCGCCCTCACCTGCGGCCCGCCGCCCTTCCTGCGGCCCGTCGCCCTTACCAGCGGCCCCGCCGCCCTCAATTGCGGCACCGCCGCCCTCAACTGCGGCCCCGCCGCCCTTACCTGCGGCCCTGACGTCCTCAACTGCGGCCCCGCCGCCCTCAATTGCGGCCCCGCCGCCCCTCCCTGCGACCCCGCCGCTCTCACCTGCGGCCCCACCGCTCTCACCTGCGGCCCCGCCACTCTCACCTGCGGCCCCGCCGCTCTCACGTGCGGCCCCGGTGCTCTCATCGGCGGCCCCGCCGCTCTCACCTGCGGCCCCGCCGCTCTCACCTGCGGCCCCGCTGCTCTCACCGGCGGCCCCGCCGCTCTCACCTGCGGCCCCGCCGCTCTTATCTGCGACCCCGTCCCCTGCTGCAGCGCCGCCTGCCACCCGAGCTGCCCGACCCGCTTCACCCAGCCGAGCAGCCCACCGCCGCGCCGCCCTGCAGCAGCACCGCCGAGCCACCCGGGCAACCGAGCAACCGGACAGTCGAGCCGCCGAGCCACAGGTAAGGTGGCGGGGCCGCAGGTAAGGTGACGGGGCCGCAGGTAAGGCGGCGAAGCCGCAGGTAGGGTGGCGGGGCCGCTGGTAGGGTGGCACGGCTGCAGGTAAGGCGGCGGGGCCGCAGGTAGGGTGGCGGGGCCGCAGGTAAGGTGGCGGGGCCGCAGGTAAGGTGGCGGGGCCGCAGGTAAGGCGGCGAAGCCGCGGGTAAGGCGGCGGAGCCACGGGTAGGGTGGCGGGGCCGCAGGTAAGGCGGTGGAGCCGCGGGTAAGGTGGCGGGGCCGCAGCACAGAGCGGCGGGACCGTAGAGAAGGGCTGCGCAAGGGGCCGCGGAGGACGGCGACGGGCTGGTACGGGCAGCGACGGGCCGGGACGGGCGGCGCAAGGGCAGCGACGGGCCGCGTAGGGTGGCGACGGGCCGCTAAGGGCGGCGACGGGCCGCTAAGGGCGGCGACGGGCCGAGCAAGGGCGGCGCAAGGGAGGCCGCTAGGGGCGACTCGACGGGGCCGAAGGAGGCCTAGGAAGGGCACGATGCGGGCCTAAGCGAGGCGCGCTCCAGGCAGGAAAAAAAAACTTCGATTTTGGTGGGCCCTAAGAACAGTTCCCACGAGGGAACCTGCTCGATACCATGAGAAGAAACGAGAATGAATGAACTATGAATGAAGTGGGTACAAGTACTAACCCTAGTTGGGTTGTACCCCCTATGGGATACCCCACTACAGCCTACACAAATGTATAAGCTATATAATGTTCTGACAAGTAGTGTTGTAGCGGAAGTTTGAATTGTTATAGTCACAGTAGGCTTCAATGTGCCTAAAACGAAGGATAGAGTGCACAGTCGGATTTCTGCACAGCGGCTTTGAACGTTAATAGCGATCTGCTCACAACTCCAAATGACTTCATTCAACTTGGATTTAGAGCGCCTTAACGTTGCCTACAATAGGCAATTTAGATCGCACGATTTCATCAAGAATGGACGACACAGCGTTGGTTTGAACGAACGGCACTTTGCCGCCAGTATAGTCTTAGAACACACAATCAGAAGAGTTAGGAAGAATTACGAGTTGGGAAGGACTCCCAGCTCCTACAAACCCTGAGGTACAGTGATGTGGAACAGTGCCACACTGTCCCCAACCAAGAAGGGTCTCGAAACTACCCTCCACAAGGGTCTACACCAACAGAAATGTTACACTACACATTGTAATGTAACGAATCTTGATATCTTGAAGTGTACCCTTTTGGCGAGCTTCGAAATCACTTGAAGCTTGAAACCAAGGCTCGGGTTCTTCATCACAAACTCATCCTCGAGTTCTTGATGGGTCTGCTGCACACACCTGCGACACGCCGAACGTTCGACAAGCGACAAAATAGAAACCGCGCACGACAAAATAGAAACCGCGCGGGACACACAATGTCAGAATGTACTTGCTGTCTAGCCTGCAGTGGGGTACTCTGTAATGAGTATAGCCCAATTTAGGGTGTTGTACTTGTATCCCAACTCTTGCTAGTGAAACCCCTCATTCTCCTTTACAATTCTCTCGACACTCTCCTCACCCTCGAACTCAACTCTCTCGACACTCACTAGCTATGCCTCCTAAGTCACGCTAGGATTCTCACATGGTATCAGAGCAAGGTTCCTAGGACCTCACATTAATGGGCCCACCACCTACTGCCCTGCTAGCCTAGGCCCCGGCCCGTCACCCCTTGGCGTCGCCCCTAGGCTCGACCCCTTGGCCCCGTCGCCTCGGCCCCTTGGCCCCGTCGACTCCGCCGCCCCGCGCCCGGCCCGTACTTAGCCCGCAATCGGCCCGTACCTAGCCCGCGCTCGGCCCCGTTCCTAGCCCCGCGATCGGCCCGTACCTAGCCCGCGCCTGGCCCGTACCTAGCCCGCAATCGGCCCCGTTCCTAGGCCCGCGCCTGGCCCCGTAACAAACCCGCGATCGGCCCGTACCTAGCCTCGCGCCCGGCCCGTACCCAGCCCGCGCTCGGCCCCGCTCCTAGGCCCGCGCATGGCCCCGTAACTAGCCCGCGATCGGCCCGTACCTAGCCTCGCGCCCGGCCTCCGTTCCGCGCCCAACGCCCGGCCCCGTACCTCGCCCGCGCCTGGCCCCGTACCTAGCCCGCGCCCGGCCCGTACCAAGCCCGCGCCTGGCCCCGTCCTTCGCCCAGCGCCCGGCCCCGTCTCTTGCCCGCGCTCGGCCCAGTACCTGGCCCGCGCCCGGCCCCGTACCTAGCCCCGCGCCCGGCCCCATTCCGCGCCCAGTGCCCGGCCCCGTACCTGCCCAGCGCCCGGCCCAGTCCCTGCCCAACGCCTGGCCCCGTACCTACCCAGCGCCCGGCCCCGTTCCTGCCCAGCGCCCGGCCCCGTCCCTAACCATGGCCCCATCGCCCCTAGCCATGGCCTTGTCGCCCCTAGCCATGGCCCCTCGCGACCTGCCGCCCCTAACCGTGGTCCCGGTGCCCTGTTGCAACATGGTGGGTGAGGGGGTGGCAAGAGGGGGTTCTTCCTGCCCACGTGCCCTACAGTCGCACGCGCAGCTCCGCCCCCGCCCCCCTCCCCCCCCTCCCCCCCCTCCATGGGGATGGCGGGGAGAAGGGGGGGGAGCTTGGAGGTTTAGGGGGAGGCAGGAGGGGATCTGCAGCACCAGGTCCCCCACCCTTCTCCTACCTCCCCCTGCTGCGGGTGCCGCAGTGGGGGGGAAGGGATCTGCCATCCCCCTGCTGCGGATGCGGCAGTGGGGGGAGGGGACCTGCAGCACCTGCCCACCCCCGCCCCCCCTTCTCTTCCATCTCTCTGCTGCGGGTGCAGCAGTGGGGGGAGGGTATGGGGGTGGCGGGTGTGGCCATCCTGCTGTCGCCCGAGCGGCTTCTGCACCGCCCCCTTCTCCTACCTCCCCCCTGCTGCGGGTGCAGCAGTGGGGGGGGGAGGGGATCTGCAGCACCAGCCCCCCCCACCCCCCCCCCCCCCTTCTCCTATCTCCCCCTGCTGCGGATGCGGCAGAGGGGGGAGGGGGGGGAGCTTGGAGGTTCAGAGGGAGGCAGGAGGGGATCTGCAGCACCAGCCCCCCCCCCCCCCCCCCACCTTTTCTCCTCCACCATTGCTGCGGGCGCAGCAGTGGGGGGGAGGGGATCTGCAGCAGCAGTGGGGGGAGGGGATTTGCAGCATCAGCACCCCCCCCCCCCCTCCCTCTTTTCTCCTCTCTCTCTCCCTGCCGCACCCTGTGTTGGGAGGGGGGGGAGCTTGGAGGTTCAGAGGGAGGCAGGAGGGGATCTGCAGCACCAGCCCCCCCCCCCCCCACTTCTCCTCCATCCCCCTGCTGCGTGTGCAGCAGTGGGGGGAAGGGGATCTGCAGCAGCAGTGGGGGGGAGGGGAGTTGCAGCATCAGCCCCCCCCACCCTCCAGCCCCCCCCCCCCCCACTTCTCCTCCATCCCCCTGCAGCGGTGGGGGGGAGGGGATCTGCTGCCCTGCGCGCCCCGCGCGCCCTGCAGCCCTGCTGCGCCCCGTGCGCCCTGCAGCCCTGCGCGCCCTGCTGTCCTGCTGCCCTGCGCGCCATGCGTGCACTGCAGCCCTGCATGCCCCGCGCGCCCTGCTGCCCTGCAGCCCCGCGCGCCCTGCTTCCCTGCAGCCCTGTGCGCCCTGCTGCCCTGCAGCCCTGTGCGCCCTGCTGCCCTGCTGCTGCCGCTACAGCCCTTGCTGTTGCCGCTACAGCCCTTGCTGCTGCCCTATGCGCCCTGTGCGCCCTGCTGCCCTGCTGCTGCCGCTACAGCCCTTGCTGTTGCCGCTACAGCCCTTGCTGCTGCCCTGTGCGCCCTGTGCGCCCTGCTGCCCTGCTGCTGCCGCTACAGCCCTTGCTGTTGCCGGTACAGCCCTTGTTGCTACTCTGCGCGCCCCGCGCGCCCTACAGCCCTGCGCGCCCGCGCGCCCTGCTGTCCTGCTGCCCTGCGCGCCCTGCGCGCACTGCAGCCCTGCGCGCCCTGTGCGCCCTGCTGCCCTGTGCGCCCTGTGCGCCCTGCTGCCCTGCTGCTGCCGCTACAGCCCTTGCTGCTGCCCTGCGCGCCCCGCGCGCCCTGCAGCCCTGCTGCGCCCCGTGCGCCCTGCGCGCCCTGCGCGCCCTGCTGTCCTGCTGCCCTGCGCGCCTTGCGTGCACTACAGCCCTGCATGCCCCACGCGCCCTGCTGCCCTGCAGCCCTGCAGCCCTGCTGCCCTGCTGCCCTGTGCGCCCTGCTGCCCTGTGCGCCCTGCTGCCCTGTTTGCCCTGTGCGCCTCGCGCGCCCTGCTGCCTTCAGCACACGCCATGCACAACCCCCCCCCCCCCCTCCCTTCTCCTACCTCCCCCTGCTGCGGGTGCAGCAGTGGGGGGGAGGGGATCTACAGCACCAGCCCCCCCCCCCCCCCCCCCCCCTTCTCCTCCATCCCCTGCTGCAGGTGCAGCAGTGGGGGGAGGGTATGGGGGTGGCGGGTGTGGGTGCAACTGCGGGGTGGCGGGTATGGGGGTGGCGGGTGTGTGAACCGTCCCCTCCTCCTCCTCCACCTTCGTCTCCCACTGCTGCAGCTGCCGCTGAGGGGGGTGGGTGTGTGGGAGCCGAGGGAGTGGTGCTAGGGGGGTGACGTGGGAGTGGAGCTAGGGGTGCAGCAAGGGGTGTGTGTAAAGGGGGTGGGACAGTTGGGGGAGGTTGAGCGGAGGCTACCGCCTTGTCGTCCGCAGCACCTGTAGTCCGGGGCTCTGCTTCTGGTAGCTCAGAGAGCCTGCTGCGCCTGTCGCCAGTGGGTCCGTTGCTCCTGCCGCATCAGAGTTAGCCGCAGAGCCAGTTACTCCTGTAGTCCGGGGCCCTTGCTCCGGTAGCCACAGTGCGCGCCGCTCCTGTTGCCCGTTTGTCTGCAGCATCAGCAGACGCCTCCTATCTCCTCTCCTCTCACAGTCCAGCCTCCTCCTCACTTGCCCTTTGTGTATGCCTCTAGCTTTGCTTGTACTTGTGAACTTGCTCTATGACTGTTTGCTCTGCTCATTATACCCCACTTTGACTATGGGGGTGTGTCAGAATGTATTTGCTGTCTAGCCTGCAGTGGGGTACTCTGTAATGAGTACAACCCAATTTAGGGTGTTGTACTTGTTGTCAGAATGCTATATAGCTTATACATTTGTGTAGGCTATAGTGAGGTATCCCATAGGGGGTACAACCCAATTAGGGTTAGTACTTGTACTCACTTCTTTCATGGTTTATTTCATTCTCGTTCTAATCTCCACATGGTATCGAGCAGGTTCCCCCGTGGGAACTGTGCCTAGGGCCCACCACATCGAGTTTTTTTTTTTTCCTGCCCAAAGCGCGCTCAGCCCGAGTCGCGCTACGGGCTCTCACTTTGTCGAGCCGCCCTAGCGGCCCCAACCCCCTAGCGGCCCCATCGCCCTAGCGGTCCCGCCGCCCTTCGCTGCGGCCCCGCTGCCCTTCGCTGCGGCTTCGCCGCCCTTCACTGCGGCCCCGCCGCCCTTCGCTGCGGCTCCGCCGCCCTTTACTGCGGCCCCGCAGCCCGTCTCAGCGGCCCCGCCGCCCCCTGCTGCGGCCCTGCCGCCTCCCTGACAGCGGCCCTACCGCCGCCCTACTTGCGGCCCTACCGCCGCCCTACCTGCGGCCCACCCGCCGCCCGACCTGCGGCCCACCCGCCGCCCGACCTGCGGCCCACCTGCCGCCCTACCTGCGGCCCACTCGCCGCCCTACCTGCGGCCCTACCGCCGCCCTACCTGCGGCCCACCCACCGCCCGACCTGCGGCCCACCTGCCGCCCTACCTGCGGCCCACCCACCGCCCTATTCGCGGCCCGCCCGCCGCCCTACCTGCGGCCCTACCGCCGCCCTACCTACGGCCCTACCGCCGCCCTACCTGCGGCCCACCCACCGCCCTATCTGCGGCCCCCCTGCCGCCCTACCCGCGGCCCACCCGCCGCCCTTTCCTACGACCGCCGCGCCGCCCTGAACCAGCGCCGCCGAGCCGCCTAGCGGCAAAACCACCGAGCCGCCCGGCCGCCGAGTCGCCAAACCACCGAGCCGCCCAGCAGCCGAGCCGCCGAGCCGCCCAGCAGCCGAGCCACCTAGCACCCGAGCCGCCGAGCCGCCCAGCAGCCGAGCCGCCCAGCAGCCGAGCCGCCCAGCAGCCGAGCCGCTGAGCCGCTGAGCTGCCCTACTTCCGGACCGCCCGAACTGCCCCGTCTGGTGAGCACGGCGCCTTTTCCTGCACTGCCTCACCCTACTGTTTGCACTACTAGTCGTCTGTCGACATGGCTACCCCTAGTGTCCTAGCTTTTGACGCTGAGGGTCGGACCATTGACTTTGAGGTCTGGGTAGACGACCTGCAGCTGTTCTTACAGTGCGATAGGGCAGACGGCCTCTCTCTCTCTGACCTTACCTCTGGCGCTTCCCCTGCCCCTGCTGCTGATGCTGACGCCACTGTTCGCTCCCAGTGGACCATGCGCGACGCTGCTGCACGTCTAGCTGTGCGTCGCCACCTTCCTACCTCCGAGCGTGCGCACTTTAGTCAGTACAAGAGGGCTCAGACCTTGTACGACGCTGTAGTCGCGCGCTACTCCTCCCCTGCCACTGCTGCACTGAGCCGTCTCATGCTACCGTACCTCTTCACTGACCTTGCTGCCTTTCCCACCGTAGCTGACCTCATTACGCACCTCCGCACTAGTGGCACTCGCTACCGCGCTGCACTTCTTGCTGACTTCTGTGCCACGAACCCCCCCCCCCATGTACATCACTCTGTACTTCCTAGTCACTCGCCTTCCTGACTCCCTTCCAGTAGTCAGGGACCACTTTCTCTCAGTCTTTCCCACCACACTCACTGTCGACCTCCTCGAGAAGGCCCTCCTCGCGATAGAGAAGAGCATAGTCGCTGTAGGAGCCTCTCGAGGTGACCCGCGCACCCCCATCTTTGAGGGGTGTTCCCCCTCCCCCCTGCTGCCCTCTATTGCCTCTGCTGCTGCGGCCGACCTCCTTGGTCTTGAGTCGGTCGGTGCGGCGTCTACCCCTAGCGGGAGACGCCGCCCTGGCAAGGGCAAGGGGGGCAAGGGAGCTGGAGGAGCGGGCGGTGGAGGTGGAGGTGGAGGCGGTGGGGGGAGTGGGGGTGGCGATGGGAGTGGAGGTGGGGGTGGTGGGGTCGGTGGCGGCAGTGGAGGCGGAGGCGGCGGCGGCGGTGGCGGTGGGAGCGGAGGTGGCGGAGGAGGCAGCGGTGGAGGCGGCGGCGGAGGCGGCAGCAG